AGACAGAAAGGAAAATTAAAACCAAATTTTAATTGTGGCCAAATAGCAATGAATTTATGGGGACACGATTTGTTGCAGCAATGGAAAACATAGATTAGCATTCCTCCATCTCAGAAACAAACCATAAAATAGAAAAGGCTTATAGAAATTATAGGATAAATGGGTAAATTATTGAATCTACTTTCAAACTACTTTCAAAAAGAAGGGGGATTCCTCTTGCCCCCATTCAACTTGGACTGAAATCATCAAGGTTTTCATCAGCAGTTTGAATCAATACTTGATGCTCCCACACTTGGATGAGTTTTTATCAAGAATAATATTAAAAATAATATTATTAAAATATTAATAATATTAAAATAATACTAATTTTCATCTTGTTTAGCTGCATATCTGAGAAATCAGATCATGAAATTACAGAGACCACAACACATTCTAAAATGGCAAGCTAGCTATAGTGTGGTTTTCAGTATTGGTTTTTAAAAAACAATAGTATGTAGTGGTATTTTCTCTGCCCATGACCTTGGGCTATAGGGCCAGAAGGAGGTGGTGCTTCTTGCCCTCCTACGTGACCTCTTATAAGGAAAGGGAGATGGTGCCCAATGTGCAGTGGTTAAGAGTACTGACTGATGTTCCAGAGGACCCAGGTTCAATTCCCAGGCCATCTGGTGTCTGATCGTGCCAGGAAGCAGGAAAGGAAACCTCGTGACCCTTCTTATTCTCCTTATACGAACGAGGTCATGTACAATGGCAAGAAGCACTGCCTCCTTCGAGTACTATAGCCCAAGGTCACGGGCAGAGCAAATACCACTACAACATTATCTAGCTTTTATTAAAAGCTTGCCATCTATCAGCCCCTTTTCTTAATCCTTTGTGTGCATTGTTTTATTTAATACTCCACCAGGTTCACAGATTGCATCACCATCTCCCTTGTACTGAGGAGGAAAGAGAAAAGAAAGCCGGTGTTCTAGCCTAAACATCTAGGTTCCTGACTTGACACTGAGGACAGTTACCCCACCTCCACCCCATCCTCCCATTCTACAGAGCTCTTTCTGGCCCCCAGATGTCTCAAGGCAGTTTCTATCCAGATTTGAACTTACAAACCCTTCAACACACAAAGTGAAGGTGTGTGCCCCCCACATACGCTACACATGTGTATGTGTACACATGCACATTGTGTGGTAGGCTAGAAAATTGCCCAGCCCAAATATGCTCATGGCTTAAGATCTCTCTAGTTAAAGAACCTGTAAACATGGCACTTTATATATAAAATTAAGTTAAAAATCTTAGCATGGGGCAGGAGTTATACTAGATCTTTCAAGTGGTTCCAATGTAATTACAGGTCTTCTAAGAGGGAGACAGGAGTCTCATGCAGAAGGAGTGACAATTGAGAGAGGGCGAGGGGACAAGAAGGGAGAGTGATTGGGAAGGTCTTCATGAACTGGCTTTGAAGACAGAAAAGGAGCACGTGGTGGTTCGGATGAGAATGGTTCCTGTAGGCTCACATTTGGTGGTGCCATTAGGAGGTGCAGCCTTGTTAGAGGAGGTGTGTCACAGTGGGTGGGCTTTGGAGTTTCAAATGCTCAAGCCAGGCCCAGTGTCTCTCTTCATGCTTCATGAGGATTCAGACTTATAACTCTACCCCTTCTCCAGCACCATGTCTGCCTGCATGCTGCCATACTTCCCTCCATGATGATAATGGGCTAAACCTCTGAACTGTAAGCCAGCCCCAATTAAATGCTTCCCTTTGTAAGAGTTGCTGTGGTCATGGTGTCTCTCCACAGCAATAGAAACCCTAACCAAGACAGGGCCTATGAGCCAAGGCATGCAGAAGGCCTTTAGAAGACACATAGGACTAAGAAATAAATACGGCCAACAACCTCCAGATGGCATATATCCCTATCGTGAACTGATTTTAACCTTTCACCTCCAAATCTGCATGATGGTGAATTTAGTCATCTTTAGACACTAAGGTGTCAGTGAATAGGGAAATGAGACAATTCTGAAACAGCAGCCTGTTATCCTACCACTGAAGACCCAGTGGAAGAGTACTCACTCTGGCCAGCACGTTCCCCAGCACTGGTTCACACAGACTTGAGTCACACCCCCCATCCACCAGCAAAGATCAGCAAGCACCAGGTATTTAAGAAGCCAGTGGACATGGGGGCAACCCGTGCTGTCTGGAGACAGATGCTTGAATTGTTTCATGATGTCCCTACAACTCCCGGGGTAGCATGTCAGCAGCTTCAAACATGCAGAAGAAGCTGAATTTAATTAAAGCTAAGAGTCTTACCTTCACATTTCTGTCTCATTTTTTCTTAGGCGACATGGAATTAGCAGGATAAGTAAGAACTTGGGTGCTCACTAATCTCTCTGATAATGTTTCCTCGTACAGCTGCACACACACACACACACACACACACACACACACACACACACACACACACACACCTTCAATATTTTTCAGAGGTTTATCTGATTCTCTACTTGCCTGGGGTGCTGTGATGCTAACCCTGGCTGTCAACTTGACACACCTGGGAAGAAGGACCTCCATTGAAGAACTCCTCCACCAGATGGGCCTGTGAGCATCTGTGGGGCATTTTCTTGATTGCTAATTGACATGGAAGGCCCAGAGCACTACAGCTGATACCAGCCCTCGGCAAGCAGACCAGGTTGTATAAGAAAGGAAGCTAGCTGTGCAAGCCAGAGAGAGCAAGGCAGTAAGCAGCATTCTTCTATGGTCTCTGCTTCAGTTTCTGGCTCCTGCCTTGGCTTTCCTCAATGATGGACTGTGACCTGTAAGCCAAATAAACCCTCTCTTCACTCAAGTTGCTTTTTGGTCAGTATTTTATCACAGCACCAAATTAGGGCAGGTGGAACATTCTTTTTTCTTTTTAATGTTTGCATGGTTGTTTTGTCTGTATATGCGTCTATGAGTATGTGTGTGCCTGGTGCCCTCAGAGGCCAGAAAAGAGCATCAGATCTCCTGGAGTTACAGACAGCTGTGAGCTGTCATCTGGGTGCTGGAATCGAATTTGAGTTCTCTGGGAGAGTAGTCAGTGCTCTTAACAGCTGAGCCATCTCTGAAGCCCCTACATTCCTTTATTTTTTTTAATGTGTGTTGTAGGCATAACTATGTGCATGCATGTTTGCATGTGTATGAACCACTTGAGTTTTCTAGACAAAAGAAAGGAAAGAAGGGAGGGAAGGAGGGAGAGGAGGGAGGGAGGCTGAACTAGTGCAGTGGTGGAGAGTGGGTGGGAAAATGGATGATTAATTTCAGAGCAAGCAGCTTGGAAAACACTAAAACACTTTCACCTACTGAGAGCAGGATCCCCATGTTGCTCCTCTTTTCTTTTAGAGCATTCAGTATTGATCTGTTGTGTCAAACTGGAAAGCTTGTTAGAAAAACTATGTTGACCTAATTGTTCTGCTGGAGGATCTAGCGCACCCCTGAAATCTGCCAAGAGGCAGCACACACCAAGGGCTCACAGGAGAACAGCTGCAGATCCTAAGAGGACCCATGACTTACACTCAAGTGCGTAAGGTTTTCTTCAATCTTACGTCAAAAAACATTTGCTAAAACTACACTAACCACATTTATCTTAATTATTTGTTATCCAAATATAGTTTAAACAGTGGGACTAAAGCAGAGGCATTTTGATTAGTAAATAGTTTATCATAATAGGGTGTATGCATCTGCATGCAGCTGTAGGTGTTGCGCCTCTGGTTCCAGCCATATTTGTTTTGAGCAGAGTCTTTCACCCATCTAGAACTCATGCAGGAGGCCAGGTTGCTTGGCCAGGGAGCCCAAGGGGCCCTCTGCTTCCCCAGCTCTGGGGTTACAAATGCTGGCCACCACGCCCAGCTATTCACACTGATTCTGGGAACTGAACCCAGGTGCTGGCACTTGTGTGGCAAGAATGGCAGCAACAGAGCCATGCGGCCAGCCCCTGTAATGCAGGGTTGGAAGCAAAGCCCTTCCTGCTGACCATCAATGTTCACTCCACTTCGTTTTTACAGGATGTGCTAAGAAAACAAGATCCAATCACCACAGACTTTCTGAAATTAGAAAGCACATGTATCTACTAACAAAAATTAAACCTTTACAGTTTTAAAATATCAGCTGATTAGCATTTTTGGAAATACTCCACAAATACACAAAGGCACTTCTGTAGAACATTGACTTGAGGCTGAGCATGAATAGATAGCTAGCCTTCAAAAAGAAAAGGAAAGAAAAAAGTCTCAAGATTCATCTTGTATATTTAAGCCTATCACTGTGGGCATCAGAACACTGCTGGCTACCACTTAATGAGCACCTGAACTGCCCATTTTAATAACAGACTGACAATCTATACGCTGATATTTCTCTGAATATCAACTATGCATCTGCTAATACAGCTAAGAATAGAAACCAACCATTCCCTTTATTTAAAACAATAGTATTATCTTATAATACTTGGCATAATACTATCAAAAATAACATAAGCATAATTCTAAATTTAAAAAAAACCACAGAAACATCTACAGACTCTCTACAAGCCCTTGCACCTTAAATGAAGTCTAAATAATGCATCTCGATCACTCATCATCTCACAAGGTCATTTGGAGATTTGGGTGTGGAGCTTGGTGGTAGAGCACCTGCATGCAGAGGACCTGGGCTCAATCCCAGGACCACAAGGGAAGTCTTTCAGCCCAAATGGTCTGTCAAAATCCAAAGGCACGTCTAAGACAGACGGCAGTGCTATGAATAAGACAGACATTCAGACCACCACAATCAGAGTTGTCCTTAGTTCAGCAGAAGACATGAAAGGAAGTGCCATAACCCTGCAGTAATTCAGCTAACACGAATAACACCCAGTTATTATACAGCCAGTGAGAAGCACTTGGATAAGGGCTCATTGCAACCCACAGTTACGCTGCTCTGGAAATTTTACTTTATTTCAAATACAAGAAAAGAAAAAAAACAAGTCTATTTCAAGTACTAAAAGTCAAAGGAATACCTCTTCCACAAAGCTGTCCCTCTTCTCCAGCATCTCCCGTAACGTCTGGAGGATTTTAATGCACAGTTTTTCTTCTTTCTCCATCAGTTTCTTTGTGTGATTAATCAGCCTGAAAGCAAAACATGAAACCTTAACAGGGACACCAATTACTCACCAAAATATATACAACATGCTGCGTGAGATGGGGACCAGTGATCAGATCCGTAATGTCAAAGGTCTCAGAACTACACATCAGCTTATAGACTTGCCTGAGGTATTTATCTGTCTCAGTGCTGCTCAGACTCAGCATGCTCCTCAGTGGGTTCTGATACTCTGAGAAACAGGGAAACACTAATGTTTCCCTTCCCATCCACTTTGCTGTTATGAAAAGATGTACAGCATACATTGTATCACATTAATGATAACATCATGGATGTAGGTGATATCACAGTTTAGCGGGTTTCTCCCCATTCTCTCAGTGTACCATGTATGATATGACATTGCTTGGTAGGTGTGAGCAGTTGCTGCAATTAGAAGGAACAAGAAGAGCATCAAGAGAGCTCAACCATTGCTATAGTTCAGACAAGAGCATGGCTCTTACTCCTACTGTGGTGAAGCATGCCGTGGGATTCTAGAAGACGTTCAGTACCATGGGTGTAACCATCCCAAGCATCAAATGAAGTGTTTATGGTTAGGATATGTAACCAGTCCCCATAGATTGGGTTGTTAAGAAACTGACGCTGTGAGACACATCTTCCTAGAGGGACAGCGTGACATGGACTGAAGGAAATAACAGTTTTCCGTGACACAGCAAGAGCACTACAGGATATAACGCTCCATTTAGAATAGGTGCCACGGGATGTAACTGAGAAGTCACTTCCTCTAGCTAGTGCCCAGCTAATGTCCTCAGCCATCAGGGTTGAGGACCTCCTCACCACGAGCCAGAATCAGGCTACATAACTGCTGAGGAGAAAGGAGGCTCAGACAGATGACACAACTTGCTTCCAGTTACACAGTCCTAATGAGGATACCTGAAAACAGATTTCCAAGCCCAAACCCCTGTCAGTGCTGCAAATCAACTAACAATCTCTGAGGCTTCTGGACAGAGTCCCACCAATGCAACAGGCTGCACACAGCCATCTGATCTGACAAGTGCTCCTAAAATTTAAACAGAGGTATGTGGTGATATTGTGTTCCCCAAAATATTGTGCACCCTAATAAACTTATCTGGGTTCAGAGAACAGAACAGCCACTAGATATAGAGGCCAGAAAATGGTGGCACACACACTTTTAATCCTATCACTTGGGAGGCAGAGATCCATCTGGATCTCTGTGAGTTCAAAGCCACACTGGAAACAGCCAGGCATGGTGACTCATGCCTTTAATCCCAGGAAGGGATGGCAGAAAGCAGAAAGGTATATAAGGCGTGAAGATCAGAAACTAGAAGCTTTTAGGTGGTTAAGCTTTTAGGCTTTGAACAGCACAGTTCAGCTGAGATCCATTTGGATGAGGACTCAGAAGCTTCCAGTCTGAGAAAACAGGATCACCTGAGGAATTGGCAAGGTGAGGTAGCTGTGGCTTGTTCTGCTTCTCTGATCATTCAGCGTTGACCCCAATACCTGGCTTCAGGTTTGATTTTATTAATAAGATTCTTTAAGATTCATGCTACAGAAGTACTGGTAATAGCCAATAAACTAGAAAAAAAAAAAAGCTTTATTGTGTGGCAGGAATTTCCTAAAGCTGGTCAGAGCAGGCATCCAGGAAGAGACAGCTCTTGTGTTAGAAGATGTCGGGGTGGGGTGGGGGTGGGGGTTGGAGGTAGGCCAAGAAGACAAGCCTGACCAGGAGGCAGCGTAGACAAAGCATGGAGGTGAGAGGCTGGTAGCATGTCCACAAATGATAAAACAGCAAAGAAGGGGCCAGAGTTACACTGAGGGCCGTTAGTGTGCGTCTGACACGGGGGCTGGTGTGTGTGCACACTGCTCCAGAAATTCCCCTTACTGTGTGAGATACACTTTCACATTTTATATTTTTTTTCTAAGCCACGTTTTTTATTTGCCTCTGCCTAGGTAGACTTGAAATCCATTGGGGGACCTTCATTCCACCGTCTGAAAACACAGATTCTCTTTCCTAGGAGTAGATAAGGATTTGAGTGGGCCCAAACCAGCTGCCTGGCAGGTGAATGCCCACGCTGACCCAGTCTCTCATCCCACTGCACGTGACTAAGCAGAGTCCACATCCTTCCCTGAGGCTGTCCCCACCTTCTCCTGTGGAACTGTCTGGTCCCTGGAGGAAGCAGGGAAAGTAATTCAGTCTTTGCTGATGCTTCATTAGAGTTTGTTCACAGTAGTGCCAGGGCCAGGCATGGTGAGTAATAACATTGAGTTCTAGATTTCTAGCTATGCTTGCAAATGAAACTCTTGGCTCTTCAGAGAGATGGGAAGGGGTGGGGTAAGCATGGACAACAGTCAGCCTGAGCCTCTGGCCATGAAGTAATTATAACAGCACAGGAACCTTAGCCTCTGAAGTAGTGGGGCAACCCTTCCCTCTGCCTGGTGAGGGTCTGCCAAATCACCTCACTTCTCTCCTTTTGGTTTCTCTAATGCAGACTGCCTCCATCTTCAGCAGGAACCAGAACTGATAGACTTCAGCTACTTTAGTCAAGTCCTTCCCATACCCCACTGTCACATTCTAGACCTTTCCTGTCCAGCAGGCTCTGCACTAACAGCAACATCCTGTCTGTGGTATAGAACTAGCAGATGTTAGCCACATACAACCGTGGAATGTTAGAGATGTAACTGAGGGGGTGAGCTAGTATCTCACTTTAATCCATCTAAATCTTAATTTATGGGACTATATGTGGCTCATTTGTGCCAAGGAGTTTTCTGGAAAGGATCAAAGGGTAGGTGTTCTGGATTTTGTGACCCACTAGCAGGGTGAAAAGCAGACTGCTATAGGCCTTCTTTCCTGCACACCAGCGCGATCCCTGGTCTGGCTCCACTCACTTTGACATGAAGGCGCCACATCTTATCCTGGCATCGCTTCCCTCTGGGAACAGCAACTCTGGACTGTAGAGCACATCAACAAGCACGGAGAACTCGGCCTGCATCATGGGGCTGAACTGCTGCTCCAGGGAGGCCACGACATCCTAGGACAAGGCACAGAGGCCCCACATGAGCGCCTTTCAAGATGTGACATTAGCCAGGAAGGAGATATATGGCCCTGGCTTCCCATAACACCATGTTTGTTGTTTACACTTCAACACAAACTGATTTCATTTGTTCATATTCTGTGGTATGTGTGTGTGTGTGTGTGTGTGTGTGTGTGTGTGTGTGTGTGTGTGTGTGTATACATATGAGGTTAGGGGTATATACACATGACCGTGGGTACCCACAGAAGCCAGAAGAGGGTGTCAGCTGCCCTGAAGCTGGAGTCACAGGCAGTTGTGAGTGGCCTGACATAGGCTCTGGGATCCAAACTCACATCTCTGGAGAAGCAGTGTACGCTTTAAACCACGGAGCTGTGTCTCTAGCCTTCTATATACTTCTAAATCAATTCATAAGATAACGGATTGGTGGGTAACTATGAGACTTCTGAGGACACATGTGTAAGAGGGAGATGTAGTGAAGCCACTTCACAGACTATGAAACACAGCAACTTGGAGTGGATTAGAGGATACCTGGGCAACAGCTAAACAACATTTCCTGTGTCACTGGTCACCCGAGCTAAGCGTTTATTCCAATAGAAACACTCACTATTAGCATACCATGCAGGGTTTGAGGACATTCAATAGTATTTCAAATACATTTATTGATAGGCCTGATTGGTTATGTCTCCAATGGGCTCTTTCATTCCATTCCTTGCTAAAAAGAATCCTGGTACTATTTCTTAATCAGGACAAAATATTCTCAGGGATATGAGCCCCCTCACTCAGCATCAGGCTGAGGGCTTATGCTGGCCAGGGTCACTATTTTCTCTGGGGAGGACATCACATAGCCCTGACCAGGGAGATACGTGAAGCCTGGGTGACCACCATATAGGTTGGACAGAAACAAAACCACTTAAGGTGGCTTTGGGAGTGTGATTCCACAGTCAGAGGCAGCCCTGTGTGACCTGGGAGCCCAGGCCTAAGGAAAAAGCCAATAGATACATTCAGCTTTAGAGACCTTGCCCACGGAGCTAGCAAATGGGTAGCCATAGTGCCAGGTTCGTGTGAGGCCTCACATGCTACATTTTTCAGGCCTCCACTCAGCCTCCTGGGGAAGTTTGATACCAGTTAAAAGGAAGGAAATGCAATAAAGGGGGCATGTGCATTATATAAAGGGGAATGCTTATCAGAAATGGCCACATCTAGTAAAACTGGCTTGATATATTACCTATTAATTTCTGTTATTGAACAAATGATGCTTGGGCTGTTTTGAGGTGAAGCTGTCCTTCCCTTGGCGAGTCAAAATTGCCCCACATGACCTCATGATACCAGAAGCCAGCTAGGTTTGCTGTAGAAGTTTAAAGCAAGTGCCAAGAACAGCCCATGACGCACATGAGCCCCTTCATTTCAGATGTCAGCCCCCATTGTTACAGTGTGTGAGACATGAGCATCACCTTGCTCTCACGTGGGTGACCACTTTTCCACCCCCATCTTACGGCTCCACATGGTGACACAACTTCCCATGGCCACCTTCCCTTGGCTTCTATGACATCATAGTTAACTTTCCACTGATGTCCTGACCCTGCACATGAGAAGCCAGCAATCCACAGTCGGGGATGGAGGTCTCAGAAGACACTGAGCCACTGATACCTAGATGTGGGATTTCTGCCTCCAGAATCCTAAAAGAATACATCTGCTGCTTAAAGTATGCTGCCCATGGTGTTTTGTTGTGGCAGCCCCAGAAAATTAAAGCCACGTGTCATTTGCTCACTGGGCTGCTGTGGGATGTTCTGTATGGCAAATGTGTTGCTCTGATTGGTCAATAAATAAATCACTGATTGGCCAGTGGCTAGGCAGGAAGTATAGGCAGGACAAGGAGGAAAATAAAGCTGGGAAGTGGAAGGCTGAGGCAGAGAGACACTGCCAGCCGCCACGATAACAAACAGCATGTGAAGATGCCGGTAAGCCACGAGCCATGTGGCAAGGTATAGATTTATGGAAATGGATTAATTTAAACTGTAAGAACAGTTAACAAGGAGCCTGCCACGGCCATATAGTTTGTAACCAATATAAGTCTCTGTGTTTACTTGGTCGGGTCTGACAGCTGTGGGACTGGCAGGTGAGAGAGATTTGTCCTAACTGTGGGCCAGGCAGGAAGACTCTAACTACACTGGGCCTTAATGTACAGGCCAAACCAAGGACAAAGACTTGCAAAAGGACCTGGTGAAGAGAGGGATTGGCTTATTTTGACCCATGGATATAAGTGAACACTGGAAGATGAACTGAGTCAATAATATCAAAACTTAATTTATTACGTATATCATTTATAGTAAGTTATTTTTACTAATTTTATTATTGACATTATAATTACCTTGAGATCAAGGACCACTGCTCACTAAGAAGCTATCAAAACACATTGTTATATAACTCATCAAAAAGTAAGTCAGGACAATCTATCCAGAAACTACTAAAGACTAGGTGGTGGCAGGAAGGTGCAGAAGAAAGCTTTGCCTCCAGGAAGAATCTGATATTTCCAACCGTATTGTATGACACATTTAAAGAACACAGTCTAGAAAATATTAATGTCACTTCATGTTCGCATTGTACCTGTAACTTCTCGATAATATTTCTGTAATCCCACGCTGGCCCTCCAAGAGCTTCCTTGAAGCGAGGTCCAGAGCGAGCAGAGAGCCTCCAGCCCATGGCTGCTCTCTGCACCGTACTTGAATGGTTCTTCATGAAGAGTGTGTTCACTTGGCCATCCAAATCGACAGGGATTGCAATCCCACGATTTTTGGCTGAAATGGAAAAAGATGGGAAGCATTTCTCTCTCTCGATTAAAGCTTTTTCAACATTAGTCAAACACACTAACAAACATGGGAGAATGTTTTTAAAAGAAGAAAGAATGAAAGAAGAAAAACCTCAATCTTTGAACTTTGCCATGCAATCGGTTCACGTATTTGCAGGTTAAAAAGCTGTGGAAGTTTTTTTAATTCTTCAGACCAATTAGTAACATGTGCTCACAACCTTCAAGATCCTATTTGATTTCCTGGTGATTAATGTTTGAGATGGACTCCATTTCAACATCAACACAGAAAAGCACCCTCACAAGCATGCAAATCTTTACCTCCCTGGATGCCAAAGGAAAAAAAACTCAGACAGAAAACACAGCCAAATCCTGCTGAGCTATTAACTTAATTAGTGGGTGTATGTGTGTGTTTACATGTGTATGTATGATTACATATGTATGTGTGTGTTTACATGTGTATATGTGTGTTCACATGTGTGTGTGTTTACATGTGTATGTGTGTGCCCACAAAACTGTATGTGATCAAACATCTGACAGCAGAAACAGTGAAAAAGTTAAAGGGTCCAAGTAAGCCTTCCTTGGAAGGTGGTACATGGCGCCCATCTTTTTTCCTCACTGACCCACTGACATACACATCGTAACAGACTCATGTCTTGATGATTCTGAGCAATCAGAATTTCCTGAGGGAAGTGGAGGTGTTACGGCATTTCTACCGAGTAAAGAGGTAACCAGAGCACTGGAGAAAACTGACCCATGAAGACTAGACTTGGGGCAGGTCTACCCAGTGGCCTTGGATACACTGGGGTCATCTGAGCTGCTCAAGAACCCACCTGAATCATGGGAGAGGAAGACCCCTCCTCCCTCTGACGAGAAAACTCAGACGTCTGATGCAGCTGTTTTCATCCAGAGGAAGAAGTTAGAGAAATGTAAAAGCTCCTCTCAAGGAGGAGGATCTCTAAGTGTAGAGTGCAGCTGTGAAGTCTGCAGAGAAGCAGGTCAGAGCTTGACATGACTCCCAAGACCATCAGACGAAGGCCATGTGGAGGGACACAAGGGGACAGGTCCAGCAGAGCGGGGAAAAACATGGAGATTCCAGCCACCAAGCAAATCCCCCTAACACTCACCACTGTTCCCTGCCTGTCTCACAAATGCACACACATGCACATGCACACACACATACACATGCACACACACATGCACGGATGCATGAACACAAAGGGAAAGTCCCACGTCATTTGACGAGCCCTTCTCATAGAATTCCAGGTCAATCTTTCTTACTTCCACAAGGATTATAGGCCAGGAATAGACCTTCCAAACTGCCAGCCCCCCAGGTCAGACATGACCTCCAGCAAAAACAGATGATTCAGGGAAAAACAAGCAATATTTAATTCTATTTATTGTCCCTAGAAAATTTGAGGAGATACCACACCTAAAAACTTGTAAAGAGATAAAAAAAAAAAAAAGCTCTTGGAACTTAAAATATGATTGTAAAAATAAACCTTTCAAAGATTAACTGAAAAAGAAAAGGATAGGAACAAGAGAAGTAAGCTGGAAAAGGAAGCCAAGGAATTGTCTAGAACATGAAGCATAAAAGACTAAAGGAGAAAATAAAGACATTGTGAAGAAGGAAGGGTCAATCCAGAAAGACACAGACCTGACAATACAGAAGGCAGTAAATGGCACACTGGTTATAAAGAATTACGAAACTAACGAGGGGCTGAGGGATGGCTCCGTGGTGAAGAGCACTGGCAGCTGAATGCCGGAAGGATGGAATGGACTGTTAATGGATGAAAAGTTTTGAGAGCAACCACCTGTATACAATTCAACTAAAACTCAAATGTGATTCCCCAATAAGAACATTCCAGAATAGATGCCTGAGAAACTTTTCTCTGAAACTCCTGTGCACAAATTACATCAAAAAAGAGAAAAGTATCCAAGAAAATGTCAAATGAATAGAAGAAACTATGGCAACTCAGCCTGAGCTTGAACAGGAGAACAGAGCTGGGAAGAAACAAAAGGTGATTCCTGTGACATGCCTCGTCCATCAAAAAAGTCTGGTTCTACAGACTTCATTTTTCTTGCAAATAGTTATACATTTACACATCACAATTCATAAGTTCCACTGGAGAAAAATTAATTCTACTCCAAAACGGAACATAAATAACACAAAGCACAGACATGGAAGCCAGTGATATATCCGACAAGCAGCAGAGGGAAAAGGAGCGTGGAGGGAGGGCAGCGTTTCCTTACGACACCGTGTGAGAGGACAGGACTTAGAGCTGCTGCTCAACCAAGAAACACACATGCATGGAACCTGTCAGCGTCGGTGCAGGCGCCAGAAGATGTACTCCAAATCTAAAGATGGGAAGGAAGAGTGGGAGAGAGAAGGAGAGGCAGACAGAGGAAAGAGAAGGGGAGAGGGGAGGGGAGAGGGGAGAGGAGGGGAGAGGAGAGGGGAGGGGAGAGGAGAGAGGAGAGGAGAGGAGAGGAGGGGGAGAGGAGAGGAGAGGGGAGGGGAGAGGAGGGAGGAGGGGAGGGGAGAGGAGAGGGGAGGAGGGGAGGAAATGGAGGGGAGGGGGGGAAATGGAGGGGAGGGGAGAGGAGAGGAGAGGAGGGGGAAGGAGAGGAAAGAGAGGGGAGGGGAAAGGAGAGGAGAGGAGGGGGAGGGGAGAGGGGAGGGGAGGGGAGAGGGGAGGGGAGGGGAGAGGAGGGAGACAAAGGAGAGGTGAGAGGAGAGGAGAGGAGGGGAGGAAATGGAGGGGAGGAGGGGAAATGGAGGGGAGGGGAAAGGAGAGGAGAGGAGGGGGAAGGAGAGGAAAGAGAGGGGAGGGGAAAGGAGAGGAGAGGAGGGGGAGGGGGAGAGGGGAGGGGAGGGGAGAGGAGGGAGGAGGGGAGGGGAGAGGAGAGGGGGAGGAGGGGAGGAAATGGAGGGGAGGGGGGGAAATGGAGGGGAGGGGAGGGGAGAGGAGAGGAGAGGAGGGGGAAGGAGAGGAAAGAGAGGGGAGGGGAAAGGAGAGGAGAGGAGGGGGAGGGGAGAGGGGAGGGGAGGGGAGAGGAGGGAGACAAAGGAGAGGTGAGAGGAGAAGAGAGGAGGGGAGGAAATGGAGGGGAGGGGGGGGAAATGGAGGGGAGGGGAAAGGAGAGGAGAGGATGGGGAAGGAGAGGAAAGAGAGGGGAGGGGAGGGGAGGAGGGGCAAGGAAAGAGAGAAGAGAGAGGAGGAACAGAGATAGATGAAAGATGAAGAAAGGAAATAAGATGAGAGGGGAGAGGAGGGAAAGAGAAGAGAGAGGGAGAGAGAAGAGGGAGCTAGAAACAGGGAGACAAAGAGAGGCCAGCTAGACAGGGGAGAGAGCAGGAGAGGGAGAGAGAGGAGGAGGAGAGGGGAAGAAAAGTGAGAGGAGAGAGGAGAGGAAGAGAGAAGGAAAGGGGGAGGAGATGGGGAAGGGTAACAAGGAAAAGAGAGAGAGAGAGAGGATCAGAATCAGACTTTCTTTCACACAATGAGGAAAATACTAGACGGAACTGTTCCGCCGATGGAAATTCTCCACCAGGAAAGTACAATTAAACACTTCTTTGAAATAAGCAATTTCTACTGCCAACACAGAGCCAGGTACCTCTGCTTAAAACGTGCACTCACGGGCTCTGCGGGAGTCAGATGCACTAGGTGGCCCCATCATCAAAGGATAGTTGCTAAGACTACAGCAGACAGGGCTGGAGAAACTGCTGAGTGATTAAAGAGTACATATTCCCAGAGGATCAGAGTTCAATTCTCAAAGCCCATGTTGCCCTCTTCTGGCCTCTGTGGTCTGCACTCGTGTGCACAAACCCACACCCAAGACACACACAGATACATGTGATTTAAAACAACAATAACAAACTTAAAAAAACTGATATACACAAGGAAACACTGTGGGAATGTTTTTCTGATACTGTCCATGGGAATTTAGTTTGATGATGAGTCTGCGCCTCATATAAGTGAGCACACACTTATAGAGCAACAAGCACCCACCCAGGATCCACCTGTGAGTTGCTGATCCACGTATTCTTCTATGGTGGCACATGGAGAGAAAGCTGAAGAAACTCCATCCTAAAGTGTTAACATTTTTCTGTTTCTCAATCTATATGACTACTTTTAACCTAGTGTTCTATCTTGACATGAACTGTACAATATGAACTCCAGGTAACATACACAACTTTCCCGGGCCTAGATGTAAACTGTATCCTACGGTTAAATTATGACTTTGAAACTGTGAAAGAAGATTAACCCTGCAATTGAGCAAAACACATTTGAGTTAAAAATAAGCTATGCGTTCACACAACAATGAACAAACACTGTAAGGGTTGGGAATACATCTCAGTGGTAGGACACATGCCCAGCATGCACAATCTCTTGGTTCAACTCCCAGTACCTCAAGACAACAACAAATTAAATTAAAAATAAACAAACTCTACAAACATGCCCTGAAGTAGATTCTCTGATCTGTCAAAATAATACAGAAATTGATTTGAAATCAAAACAAAAAATGCTGAGCTAGATTTCCACAGGTTGTTTAAAAGGCATGCGTGGTGGGGGTCGGAATGGAGCACTGGGGTTAGGAAAAGCATTTGTTTTATCCTGTTCACAAGAGCGTTAACTATGAAAACAGCATTGTCCAGTCAAAACCATGATCGAGACTGAGTTAAATGTCATCAAGTGAGAAACATTCCAGGATCTTAGTGTCTACACAGCAGGGCAAATCCCCACAGTTAACAGTAACAATCAGCTAATAAACCTGCTAAGCCCAGCCATCCTTCACACCTGCAGCATGTAGTAAGGGCCATATTAAAGTTCTTATAAAGAAGTTTTCCTCTTTTGCCTCTAAGTCAGAACTACTGCCTTGTTAAGGACATGTCATCAGAGGACAGGCCTCCAAGTCCCTAACGAATGAGTGGGAGAGGAGAGGGCTGCTGCCCATGCATTTTGCTTTGGGGGACCTCGGCCTAGAGAA